TAAATAGTATTTCGATTCTTTATATTGTTATTATTATTTTTCTAAACCACTTCTTACACATAAAATAATAAAGCTCTCTATTGAGATTAAAATTTATTGATTTTCAATGGAACTATCATTGTCACTTGATAATGATTGCTTTACATCAAATCACATAATAAATTTTACTCCCTCCGTTCCGACTAATTTGTCTCATTTATATTAGGCATGAAGTTTTAGATATTATGTAATTTGTGAATAATTAAGAAGTGTATTAATAAAAATAATTATAATTTAATAAAAATAATTTTAGATTAAAATTAACATACTAAATAGTTTAATTAAAATAAATTTTTTTTTATAAATTATGAATTTTAAAACGTAATTAAAGCGTATAATTGTATTTCCAAAAAATGAAAGGACAAATTAAGTGGGACAGACACAAATAGAAATAATGGACAAATTAAATGGAAAGTAAAAGTTAAGAACAATCGAAAGAGTCATGATTTATTCATTCTACAACAGATTATATGTTCCACTTTTGTTAAAAACTTCTACAAAAAATCATCAACAAATTAAGTTTTTGAGCCCTTAAATCTATCTCATCTCGTCGATGAAAGAATTATTTCATAAGGGCATAAAGCTCTAATTTCTTCTCATCCAAATGTAGTACAAGACAGAAAAACAGGCAGAAAGCTCAAAATGAAAATCGAAATTACCAGGGAAGAATCGTCTATCTAATCAAGAATGATAATCCAGCTCAAGTCGCAGAATCAAGAAAGAAATTTGATGCGATTACTTCTACCAGAAAAGAAACGATACAATCTAGGTGTGAAAAATGATAGTAATATATCAAGGGCTTCTGATATGTTAAAGTCCTAAATATACACAAACCCTACACTCGATACAACCGAGAGAGAGAGAGGATGTCTCAATTACTCATTCACACTGACACATAGAGTAATAACATTGAATTTGAAACAAAACGACACTAAGAGTCTGTTTGATTTGGTAGAAAGTTAGCGACAATGGTATGGTATATTTTGCATGGGTAATCGGAAAAAAAATAAAGAAAAATAAGCGCAGAGCAGGAACTCGTTTGGGAGGGAGGGAAGGCGTGATGAGAGTATTCTTTTCATATAAAATTGGATGGCTTAAATTGAGACGAGGTGTTGAGAATGAAAGTACGAGATTGGATCTAATTAGCTTGTAGGGCCATGAAAAATGAGTAAAGTAAGGGGCTTGTTTTTGTGTTCGACTTGATGAGATAACTGTTTTCTATATTCATTTCAATTATATTTTGATAAATCTACATATATATATATATACTTGTTTTAAAATGCAAATTTAATTAAATGATATAAAAAAAAAAAAAAGTAAAAAATGCAAATGCAAAATATTATATTTTATATTATCAATTCTCATATCTAATATAAAAACATATTAATCCAATAATTTTGTGTGTTGTTTTTCATTTTTTATTAAGTTTTTTAATATTTAAACTTTATGCTATATATGTCAAAAAAATTATTGTATGTGTGACGAATAGGCTTATTTTCTTCGGGCATGAATATAAGAAATATTGATAGTTGGTATAAAATAATGGTCAAAAGATTTTTTATTTTATTTACCGTGAATGTATTTTAACTCATGTGGAAAAGGAAAGACATGGGTATTTATGAAATAAAAAAAAAATGAAGGTAATTTTATGATTATATAATAATTATAATAATAATATGAGAATTATTCACATGCTAATAATATGTCAATAGTTGTGTTCACATTAGTTGCATAATAAATAATAAAATTACTGAATTACCATAACGAACAATGCAAGAAAAGGGGAGGTACTTATCAGTATAAAACGTATGTAAATATTGGAATTCTAATGAAAAAAATTGTATGTGTGGCGACGGTTAATAGAATTTTACATAATAATAAAATCATCTATTTTTATTACTCCCTCAAGTCATATTACAAATTATGAGAAAATAAAAAAAAAAAAAACTTTTATTAGCGTCTTATAATACTAATATAATGGCAAATAATAAATGAATATTTTTTTATGGGACGGAGGCAGTACAATATTTTTATAACGTGGGAATCCACAGCCGCTACCATTCGAGTATGCTTTGGATAAATTTTCGGTCAAACTTAATAGCATATAAATTAGATCTAATAAGACAAGTAACACTAGGCGAACCATGTTTTGCAGACAAGATCTGAAAACCTAGGGTAATCAAAATTCAACTATTTATCATATGTAATGGTGACCACGTATACTCAACTGTATTCAGGCGGAACTTTTAAGGTTTTTTTGTTTTTTTTTTTAAGGTATGGAATGACATGAGGATTAGAGGGTTGAGAGATTTGCCACAAGTTTATATTCTTATTCTCAACTTTTAAGTTACATACATAAGAAAGGAGATAAATTATATAATATACATTGTATTTTGTGTTAGATTAAAATTTGCACAAAATATCATATTTCTCCAAAACTGATATTTGATTATAAATACGGATTTAAATTATGCAGGTTTTATATAAAAAAAATACAATTTTTTAAATAGTTTTTTTAATAGAATAAATAAATAAATAATTGATTAATCTTTCTTTTTATAGTTTATGTAAAAATCATATAACAAGTTGTCTAAAAAACTATAAAATGTATAATTAATCAATTGTTTATTTATTTATTCAAAAATATTATTTAATATATTTATCTTTTTTTATATATATAAAACTTGGATAACTAAATTTGTATTTACACTCAAATATCAGCTTTGGACTATAATAGTATTTTGTACAAATTTTAATTCAACACAAGAGGATTTTACGCAATAAAACGCAAAGTGTTTTACAGATTTGTATTATAAATATAAGGAGATTTTATATAATTTACTCTACAAAATATTATAATTACATCATAATTTATAATATTTCAAATAATAATAAGAATAAATTTTTATCACTTTGGAACTATAAGACTATGTGCAATGCAGAACATATTTTTACATTCTTGAGTCTTCTTTTCTCTCTGCCACGCGATGGCACATAAGATTAAGAACCCAACAAGAACGGATCCAATTTTTTACTGACATTGTATAACCGAATTTTACGTTCCCTGAATTTTTCCTTTTTCCATCAATAAATTTATTATTTTATATTATATAAATTATATTTTTATACTATAATTTTTAATTTAAATAATTTAAAATTTAATTATAAGAATTTATAAATAAAATTTAATCATTTTGTATAGTGCAAATATATTTTTTATAAAAATAATTAATTTTTAATATAAAATTTAAAATAAAATTATATTTTATATTAATTATTTCATATAATAAAATTATTATTAAATTAATTTATCATAGTAAATAGAAGTATAAATTAATTTATAATGAATCTTGTTCGGTTGTCCCATACTCTCATACACAGGGCGGATGTATGTGGGGGCAAGGAGGCTCTAGCCCCTCCTTCCCGGCCCCACTCCCTTATAATTTTTAATTTTTTATTATTATTTTATAATATATAATATAAAAAATAATAAATAAATTAAAAAATTGCAAAAAATAGATAGAATATTTATGTAAAAATTTAAATTTTGAATAATAAAAAAAATTATATCATAATAATTTTTTGATAATATAAAAATAAATATGAACAAAAAAGTAATAAATAATAATTAAAAAAAAATTTCAACCAAATACACCGGAAATGATATTTTTAACAGTTTTTTTTTAATAAATGTTTTTATTATTTATCAATTCCATATAATACAAAAGTCATCTTGTAATGTAGATTGATATTTTGTAAGATTTTCGAAATAGGATAACTCCATTGATAAAATTATTGGATAAAAATAAATGATGATCGTTTCAAAATTTTAAAAATTAACCCCCTCATCCTGATCTGGTTTCGCCTCTGCTCATACACACTATATATATATATAGATATACACGAGGATAGGGTAATAAGACTTGTTTTTTAGACAGGTGATCCATGGGCAACCGGAGACGTTTTCCAAAGCATTAAAAACCAGTGTTGAACATGTTCTTATATGTTATGCTCGCATTCTATGTCCTTGCCAAACAAGCAAATCTATAATCCCAATTCTTTTAAACTGGTTTTTCAATTGTTTTCGAGGTCAATCAAAGTTTACTAATTTAGTACACAGCTAAGAGTAGTTTACAGAATCTGAAACTAGGTCGAGGCAGAGACTAAAGATCTTGAACAACACTATTCATAAATTCACGGACCCGATTCAATTCAACGACGACATATAATATCCCATAGACCTAATTGGGAAGAACGGAAGGAGGAGAAAAAAAAAAAAAATCTTTTAATCGGGAAGAACGAAAGAAGAAAAAAAAAAAAAAAACTTTTTCTTTACTAGGTTTGCCTATAAATATAGCTACCCTTAAAAGAGAGGGGTCGTCGATACTGCTATACGAAAATCCGAGGCTTGAATGCAAATAAAAACAGGTTATATTTCTATTCTCTAATATTCGGAAAAAAAAAAATGAAACTAGAAAATGAAAAACCATTTCCCAAATGGAGATACACAACATTGTATTTTTTTCAAATTTATTTATCTTCGTATTAAAAGAAAAATAAGTGAAACTAGATTATAAACAATAATTTATTTCTTAATCTTAAATTTCTAATTCAACCAAACAAAAAAAAAATAGAGATATTTTGTAACAAACGCACACCATAGTATAATTAATAGGTAGATGTAAACAATATTCAAATATGATTGTGGATCATGCGCTAACTCAATTAAATCAGCATGATACTAAGATGATGGGGTCAAGTAATCAGCATATATTATATGATATCATAGCATATTTACGATTCAAACATATATTATATTATAACTCGGCATACGATATCTTTTAACACATCATATGCAAAGTTACGTAAAAATATATGTTGTATGCCTTGATGGTATATGCTGATTTAACCTAATCAACACCCGATCCCGATCGGCATCCATAAGAATTAAGACATATATATAAGTCTCAAAGCACAAACAAACACCAATCATCATCCAAACCAAAATGTATCGAAACATAAGTCGAAGCTCAAACAAACAAACAAACAGATCGTTTCCCAAGTACTTAAAAAGTTTCCAAAAGCCAAAGCAAAGAAAACATACCTTAATTGATGATGTTCTTATCCTTCCCACCTCGGATCAAACTCGAAGCCTTCTCATTCTTCATGATCTTATGAAACAGCGCAGCCCGATCCTCCTCAACGATCTCCCTCAGCAGCTCGTCCTCGATCTTCGGCGCCTGCCAGTGCGACGGATCCTCCACATGCTCGTCGCTAAATATCATGTCCGAAACCCACTCCTTCCACGTCGTCCTGCTGTGCTTCTCCTCCTCCAAAGTCCCCGTCGCCAGCAGCTGGTACACGTACACAACTTTGTTCTGCCCCGGCCGAAACGCACGCGCGATCGCCTGCTTGCTCTTTGAAGGATTCCACTCCGAATCGAGTAGGATCACCCGCGAAGCCGCCGTCAGACTAATGCCCTCCGCGCACGCCGTGATCGATGCCAACATTATCTTCGACGGGCCCATGGGCTCCTCGAACTTGTCCATCACGCGCCCTCGTTCGAAAAGCTCGATGTCACCCTGAAGCACGAGCACTTCGCGGCCCTTGCGCCAGCCGAAGAACTTCTCGAATATCTGGAGGAACAGATTTATCGGGGCGATGTTGTGGCAGAAGATCAGAACCTTTTCGTCGCGCAGTAGGCACCTCGGGATTAGGTTCATTACGAATCTGATCTTCGAGCCGGACTTAATGTCGTACTTGAATTGCTCGAGATAGTCCAGTTCCTCGGCGTTGAAGTAATTTTTCGACGACAGGGTCGTCCGAATCAACCAGGGGTGGATCGCGCCGAGCGTAATCAGTAACTCCAATTCCAATGGGAATCCGCGGTACGCCGGGCGCTGGTTCTGAAGTTTCACCAGAATCTCTTGCTGAAAACTCGTCGACTTCATCATCAACGTGTAGCATTGTAAGCCCGGGAGATTGTCCGAGCTACCTCCTTCATAAACGTCGATGAACTTCCCCGTCAGTTTCTTAAGCGTCTTCAGAGCTTCTTCCCTTTCCCCTCCCTTTCGCGAGTCAATCTTCTTCGAAACCATATCAATCAAAAGCTTCCGGCCCCGATTCTCGAGTGAGAACTGCGTTCGTCGCTCTTTGTTTCGGCTCTCGTACTTTGGGTCCAACTCCTTCAAAACCTCGTGCACGAAGCTCGGCCGCGCCAGGCAGAGCGTGTTGAAATATTCGCCGAAATTATTCTGAAACAGCGTACCCGAGAGCAGAATCCGGAGCCTTGTGTCGACCTTCATCAGACCTTTCCGCAGCCGCGATTTCGTGCTCCTCGGGTTGTGCCCCTCGTCGAGTATCAGAATTCCGGGGCATCGCTTCAGCAACTGCGCCATGTACTTCCTGTGCGCGTAATGGGAATCCTCGCGCGTTAAGGTCAGGAACGAGGTGTAGCCCATGAGCAGGATGCTCGGCTGCGACAGCCAGCGCTGCATCTTTTCGAGGCAGTCGAGAACGTGCATCACGTCCTGGTTGCGCGGCAATCCCGGAGCGAGCTTCATCCTCTGCTTCAAGACTTCGCCTTTGTACGTCTGACCGCCGTGGATTTGATAAACCGGCACCGGCACTTTCCACTTGAGTATTTCCTTGTACCACGTGTACAGTGTCGTTTTCGGTGCGAGGACGAGCGGTCTTGACCCGGGAAACAGCTTTAGGTAGCTGACTAGAAAGGCGATGATGAGCAGAGTCTTGCCGGCGCCGGGAGTGTGGGAAATGACGCAGCCGCCTCGTTTGTCTTTCCGTTTCTCCATTTGCGACGGCATCAACGACCCCGCGATGTTCCTCCAGAGAAACTCGAAGGCCTTCTTCTGGTGTGAGCGCAGTTGATCTTTGAGGTCGGGTATCAAAGCCCACACATTGTTGTCGTCTGCGGCAATGTTCGACGGCGTAGTCGAGGGAGCGGGAATGGAGAATTGATCCATCTCTTTGTTTTCAGTCTTTTGATCCTGTGTTTCATCCTCTGTTCTACGCTCCTTGTGCGCAGAGTACACCGACGGCGCCTAGACAAAAACAAAAAATCCGTCGTTGGAGGAAAATCTATCAAAAGAGAAAACAATTCTTTAAAAAAAGAAAGCGCCGTTGAATATATATATGTATATAATCGTCTGCTTACAAACGGCGGGAGGATGTGTCTTATATCAGTGTCCACAAATCCACACAGCTGGCAAACAGTTCCGATTTGTTCATCGAGCCTGAGATCGTGTTTGCATTTGTCCTCGGGCTTATCCGCCATTCGTCGTTCATTGTGAGAATCCTGAGGAATATCGAATCGCGCAGATATTAAACAATAATAGAAACCACAGTATCTATAAAGACACCCGAAAATTGTACCTCATTATCATCGAAAAGATAAAACGACGCAAGAGCGAGATCCATTTCCTTAAACAAAATCTCCATCTCCGAAACTTCTTCTTTTTCCACGGGGGGTTTCTCCTCTTCCACTCGTTTATTCGTCTGCGCCGACGACTGAATCTCTTTCCACTGATCGAGCACAGGCGGCCCGACCGGCTCATTTTTAAGAGTGGCGTCAATGTTGTTCATGCATCGCTTGATCAAGTCGCGGCATAGCTGTGCAGTCGAAGAGCCCTTCCTGAAACTTCTAACATCATAAATGCTCTCTCGTACGTAGACCGAGTCCTTCTTAAAGCTCGCAGAATCGCTATGATTCCTACGGTACTTCCTTCGCATACCCTTCTTGCTCCCTCGACTCTCGCCTCCGAACTCCATAAAGTCAAAATCGAACATATCCTTCTGGCCCGAGGATGGGGATCGATTCATGTAAGCATATTTGGACATTGTCGCTCCCAAGTCAAACGTACCATCTTCCGCAAATTTGTAACGGAGATTCGAATAATGCGCAGCCGAAGGAACTACAGCAAGCTCCTCGGACACAACTGATTTTTTCCTTCCTCGTTTATTTCCACCCAAATTTTTGTTGCCTTTACTCTTATTCTTACGAGCGGACGAGTCCTTATTCCGCTCGTGAGACTTCATCCACCTCTCCAAACCACCGCGCTTCTGGAATTCATTATCGGCCTGAACGGACAACGGCATGGCTATATCATCGAATGAATCGTACTCTTCACTCTCGGATGACATTTCACCGTACTCTAATTTATACGTCTTACTTTCGCCTAGTCGCGACACCTCAACCTCATAATCTGGAGGATTATCATAGCCCATATAACGATCGGGCTGCACATTTCGACGCTTGGACCTTCGCAGCTCAATGAGATCATCCGAACGCAGAAAACCAACTTCAAGTCCCTCGGATCCTTCTTGAGGGGTAGGGGGAGTGTATGGTAAGAGGACCGGCGTTAAAATGTCGTCGTTCTCGACTTTGAAACTCAGTGTGTGAGCAGGATTCTGAGGACTTTCTCGGACTACGTCAGGGTTGTATTCCGAAACCTCGTAGACAAGACGGTTTTGCAACGACCTCACATCGAACGCAGTCTTCTTCTGAACTGATGCCACGATAAGCCATGTAATATCCGAGCAGAAGATCCCGGTGAAGAATTTGAACTTCTTCAGCGAAAAACAGTTCTCGGTAAAGCCCCAACGGTAGAACTGATCTTGGCACGGCTTCATCTCAAGCCTCTGGAGAATATAAATTTGATCGACTTTAATAATCCTCGTCTCTTTGCTGAGCCGTTTGTTTTCCATATGAAGATCCGGGTTTTGGTCTATGTAGAAGCTGACATGAAACTGGCAGTCGCACAAACCGTCGTGAGGTTTTCTCTCAATAGACCTTAGTCGCGCATCGATCCAGACCTACACGCCAATGAGAACAGTGAGAAAACTAAACATTACACGGGACTGAAAGAGCTACAGATTTAAACTTACGGGTTCGGCGTTTGAGTTGTTGGAGTTTGGAGACGTCGCAAGCACACATATATCAATTCCCGGCCTTAAAAAGGATGAGCAATCAAACCATGTTGCTCGTCTCGACTTAACACGAAGATGTGACATAGAAATCTCCTCCTCAGTGGTCACTCCATTATCGACTAGTCTTGTCGAGATAACCCCGCCAATGATTCTCAAGCGCTCGACCGGGTGCCATGATCCGCACCAGAAGGCCTCGAAAGCTGCGAATAATCACGAGCCACAACGAGTAATCATTTTTAAGGAAATTCAAGCAATGAAGCGACAGTAATCAAGACATATGTAGGATAAGAAAGTAGACAAGTATCGATGCAATAATAACAATGCGCTGTGAAACTTACGATGTTCATTGAACAAATGAGTAGTTTGGTATATTGACTTTCGCTTCATGAGTAGATACGGTCTTTGTCACTTTTCGATAATTAGAAAGAACAAAAATATCCGCCTGCGCTAACTGTTGACGTGGCGTGAGCTCTGTAAAAGGAAGTGTCAGCATATGCAGCTAAATCATTGCTTTCCGATAAAAGATAACACCTTGAAGATACATGTGAGGCACACTCGAAATACACAGCAACAATTAAGACCATTCCGAATATGTAAGAACATTCCCAATCCGGCGCAATCAAAATTCTGAAATAAATTCAATAAAGACACATCTGGATTTGTTGCTGTCCAAACTCCTTGAGTAGTAGTATGCAAGAAAAACATTCGGATAAAACATACCGACAAACAATGATCATCACGAATCTGTTCCTTTCCTCTTTTTATAGTAAATCCATAAAGCAAAGCACATTAACAACTTCCGTTTGCATCCTTCCAAACACTCCAAGATTAGTTAAAACTCACAATTTGATTCTGTTTGGATGGACTTTTTCGGAAAAAAAACATTCATAGCCTTCTTATGTATTGCAATTCAAATTCACCCATACTCAATGTGTAAAATCACTAACTTTGGTAATATATTGCCATCTAAATCATCAAAAACCATTTCCCCCCTTTTTCGACTATTCAATCTTACAATTTTCCTCCAAAAACATCACATCAGACCCGCCAATTTTCATACATATACAACCACAGCAACAATATCAAAACTCAAACCACAGATTGTCACCATCTAAATCATCAAGATCCCTCATCACCTACTTAAGAACAATCTAAAAAAATCCCTAGGTATTCTGCAACAGATCATATGTTCACAGCTTTTACGAAAAAGACATAATCGTTTCCATTCCATTTAACCAAAACGAAATCCCAAAAACAGGAAAATGATAAGACACAGAGATCTCAGCACCGATCAAAGGGAAAAGCCAAACGCAAGCAACCATTTCATCAAGGGCACAATCAATTGAAGTTAAATTAATTAACCCCCAATCACATAGACAAGCAATCTAAAAATTCTCCTTAATTAGCCCCGATTTCTCAGCCAGAAATGTAGCAAACAAACAAAAAACCCTTGCATGAAATGGTAAAACAATCACAAAACAATCCCAAAAGGGGGAAACACAGAAAAGGCAGTAAATTCAGAGAGCTCAAAATTACCAAGTCCAGAACGATTAACTTAATCACGATCGAGCTCGAGTCGCAGAATCAAACACCGCCACACCGTGAAATCACCGATCAGCGTCACCAGCAGCGAACAAACAGCAATCGAAATTGAAATTGAACCCAGATTGATTAAAATTGGAGCAATGGAGGGCCCAATTCGAAGCGGCGGGTACGAGCAGACTCAGAAACCCCCCCAACAGACGAGATAATCGAGGGGTTCTGATGGGGGAAGGAAGCGGCCTTTAATGGAGGTTCATTTAACCCCCAACTACACACTCAGCAGGCAATAAATAGCATGTGGGAGTGCAGTGAGAAACGTGAAAACAATCACTCTTCGATTTAGCCAACCTCATCAGCACAGTAAATTATATTTTGAGGAAAAGGACAGTGAGAAAAGGGGTTTGGGAATTTGTGCAAAATAGTGTGATTCCTTTTTTGCATGGAACCGGAAAAAGATGCAGAACAAAAGCTAATTGGAAATCGGAATTTGGGAGGAAAGACGTGAGGGTATTCTTGTAATACGAAAAAATGGAGGGTTGAGATTGAGAGGTGTGGAGATTGTACGGCTGAGATTTGGTCTTGTAAGGTCTTGAAAAGGAGTGAAGTTAAGGGGATTGTTATTCTTGACTTTTGGGATAAAGTGTATATATTTTTCAATCGTAGTCTAGCTTACTTTAATTGTAATTGATTTTAGGTTTTGCATTTTTTATTTACTAGATATTTTCAGTGATTATGGTTACCAGTTGAATTACTGAGTCAAAAGTTGAAAATTTGGAGTAACTTATTTAATTAATATTCTAATTTATAATATAATATATTTAATTAAAAATTAAAAATATGTATCTAATTATTTTAATAAAATAATTAATCAGTTTATTTTATTTTATTCAAAAGTAGACTGATTGAAAATTTTATAATATTTATTTTTAGGTGATACAAGCTCATTTATTTCCTTTTTTTATAGTAGAATGTTATTTTAAAATTTCCATAATGTTTATTTTATACACAATAATAAGTATTTGATTCCTAATATTATTTTTGGATGGAAATAATATTGGATACATACTTCAAAATAATACTGGAAAAATTTATGCAATAAATATAACATGCCATGATTTGTCTATTTTTAATAAAATACAAAAATTATAGTATTATTATAATTTACTATGTGTGGCAGGTGACCCGAAACATAAGAGGTTTGAACCCATAACCTCATAGTTATAAGTCTAACCTCTATTTTCTTTTCTTTTTTTTTATATCGGGACTATACAATATTTAGTTTTGGGCAAAAGAATTTTGGTGGCAGTAGACTTAACAGAAACTAGTTGATGTGATGAGAAAAAAGAGAAGTGTGTATTTATTTTTTATTTAGATAATATGATCAGATAAAGTGTAGTCAATTATTTTCTATTTCATAGTATTTGGAATAAACTAAAAATAAAATATTGTAAGGTATTTGGATATGAGGGAGTATTTTCCAATGAAAAATATTATTTTTACTATTTTCATATATCTCACTCAAAGTGTCACTTTTCAATTCTAATAAAAGTAAGTATATATTAATATTAAAATATTTTTAACATAATTTTGAATTTGAATAGTTGTATGATGTGATGTAAATAGGTGTTGATGTGATATTTTAAATGTAAAATTGATTTTTAGTATAATATAAAAAATAAAAAACAGGTGTTTGATTTGATGTTTTTGGAGGGAAAAAATGGGATGAATAGTGGAAATCTAGTCCAATCCCCCAAACAAACACACCCTTCGTATATCTTTTTATGTTAGTTAAGGTTGGATGTAGTTAAATTTTCACGAGTTTTTGTGTCATGTATATTTCAGATATGACAACATTAGAATTTGAAATATCCTCATCGGTACAGGGATGTGAATTGCTACTGTGGAAGGAAAGCTCTAATGTGCACTTCATGGACGATATAAAATTCTAGAAGAAAAATCATAGATTGTAATAAATCAAATGTGTCGATATTTGTGATGGAATTGATTTGGGAAGAATAAGACCAACACTCATTGTACTCTTTTTGAATAATATGAAGGGAGGAACATAAGCAATATGTAGTTTTTTCTGGTGCAAAGATCCCTTGATGTCCCATTCTAGTTAAAGTTATCGTCTCAAGTTTATTAAAAAAATTGAATGTTTGATACGTTGAAATTATATTATTGAAGCAACATGTTAGAAAATTACAATGTATGTTTGGAATATCTTGCATTATTCTTGTAAGTTTAGAAAATTAGGAAATGACAGTAAATGTAAGTTTCAATCAAGGAAATTGAAAATAGTTATTTTTCTATGTTTTTTTTGCTTTTTGTTTTTTTTTGTTTTTTATGTCATTGAGCAATGTTTTAATCATGGAATTATAAAGTATTGTTAATATTGAGCATTTGTATTTACTATGAAATCAAGTTTTAATAGTAATGCCGATATAATTGTTATGCGTATATATATTTTTTTATAAAGTAGAAACCTGCAGCTAGTGACACGCCATCACACCTAAGTCATGACATATATGTGACCAAAAAAAAGGTATCATGTACGAACATATCACCATCCCAACACCATAAATCGACAAAAATCCTGGCACGTATAATCTAGTACGAAGACTATCTAGCCTAAATAAAAAAATCGATAACAATCCCGGCACATACAATGGAATATGAAGACTATCCAACAACTATTCAATCCACATGCAAACATTCAATCCACTCGATTCCAATCAACCTAGAACTATCCAATCCATCCATCATTCCGAACACAAATTAAAAACAATATTTCTTCTATTTACTTGTACAAGCAGTGGTGGACCTTCTTTGTACGTAGTCCATGCCTCTGCTCAAAGTTTCTACCTTTTTCCGCGAGTTTGCTGAATTGTTATTGACAAACATGTATAGCCGAAAGAAAGGGAAAAACATATTGTTTAATTGTAACTGGAATGTTTATGCTCCCGTGATAATTGATTCAAAAGTATCATCGTATCATATGTCAAAAAAAATAAGAAGATTGATAAGAATATTTTTTCTATTTTGCCATATAAAATAATTTTGCATTTTGTCGTTAGATGTTTAAAGCGACACCAATTAGGAAATCTGCAACAAATTGCAAAAGTTGATTGTGAAAATCTCTTTAAATGGACAAATCCAATAAATAACAAATTTGAATTATCAAATATTGTTTAACATATGAGAAATAAAGCATATATTTCAAAAGTTCTATAGAACATATAATTGTCTCGATTCAAAAGTTCAAAGTTAGAAGAAAACAAGTTTCTATGTTGACTATATTGAGTGTGTGAGATTGAAAACGAAATTTAGAGTAATTATCTTATAATGTGTTCTTCAATCATTTTTTGTGCAAAAGAAAATTTTCAAACTTCTATAGAGTTCACAGACCGATCATTAGAATGAGTAAATAGAAAATAAGTACATATATTCTGTTAGTGTCATTACTACGGAATAACAACTAATTTTCTATGCATTGCGATTCAAAATAAATTTTAGGAGAAGATAATTGTTATATGTTTGTTGATATTTTGTGTATGTATGAATATTTTGATACATCTAGATTGAAATATCTCATATGTAGATATTAATATCCAACTTGGCCAACAAATATAGTGTTTTTGTTTATTCTTGCACTCAGACAAATTATAAGTCTTAACAAATTTTTATATACTAATCACATAATAATCACGCATAAAATAATTGTATTTATCAATTATGATATCATAATTTTCGCTAGCAATAAATTTGAAAGACATTACAAAAAAAAAAATAGTATATTTGTAACGGAATTCCGTTCATAAAGTTCACGTAGCTAACGTAATTCCATATCTAATTTCGTCTCTAATATCATTAGTAACGAAAAAAGTGAATTTAGGAACGAAAAAACTTCGTTACAAAATTGATAATTTCTTATAGTGAGAGTTGACATTGATAAATTATAGAATTATAGTTTGACACTGAAAGTACAATATATTTTTTTTTAGATATTTTACATAATTTTAAATTAAATATTTCATAATTCTATGAGATTGAAAAGAGAAAATATAAAATTTTTAATAAATTGTCATTATTTTTTAAACTAAAATTTTAAATTGATGACAAAAATGAAAAAATATATTATATATTTTGAGATATTTCAAATTTAAAATTTCTAAATTAAATTTTCAATAATTCTATAGATTGAAAAGAAAAAAATATGGAAACTTTAATGAATATTTTTCATTATTTTTAAACTAAAATTTTAAATTGATTACAAAAAACAAAAAAGTGTATATTTTGAGATATTTTAAACTTAAAGAATTTCAAATTAATTTTTCAATAATTCTATAAATTGAACATAAGAAATATAGAAACTTTAATGAATTATCATTATTTTTCAAATTACAATTTTAAATTGATGACAAAAATGAAACAAAGTGTATTATATATTTTGAGAAATTTCAAATTTAAAAAAATTTAAATTAAATTTTCAAGAATTCTATAAATTGAAAAGAATAAATATGGAAACTTTAATGAATTGCCGTTATTTTTCAAACTAAAATTTATAAATTAATGACAAAAATGAAAAAGTGTATAATTTATTTTGAGATTTTTTTAATTTAAAGAATTTTTAATTGAATTTCAATAATTCTATAGGGTGAAAATAAAAAATATGAAAAGTTTAATGAATTATCATTATTTTTCAAGTTAAAATTTTAAATTGATAACAAAAATGGAAGAATGCAGTATATGTTTTTGAGATATTTAAAAAATTTACAGGATTATAAATTAAAATTTTTATAATTCTATAAGATTAAAGAGAAGAAATATGAAAACTTCAATAAATTGACAATAATTTTCTAACTAAAATTCAAAATTGATTACAAAAAATAGAAAAATGTATAATATGTTTTGGTATATTTTATAATTTACAAAATTTTAAATAAATATTTCATAATTATTTGACATTGAAAAGTGGAAATAGGCAAACATTAATGGCTTGCTATTATTTTTCAAAACTATATTTAAAATTGATAACAAAAATGAAAAAGCGAGTTACATATTTTTTATATATTTTAAATTTGTTAAAAGATTTTGAATGAAATTTTTATTATTCTATAGATCGAAAAGATGAAGGGTTTGTTTTTTTTTTTAAGAATTTTCTAACACGTTGATTTTTTTTTTAAAAAAAAATAATATATTGAATTGCACATATTTATTACTTTTATATTATCGGTACAATTTTTATACTTCACATAAAAAATTTCTTTCAAATAAAAAAACACAAACAAACACATCCAAAAGTTGAAAACTTTAAGGAATTATAATTAATTTTCAAAATTAAATTTAAAATTGATGACAAAAAAATGTACATTATATATTTTGAGATATTTTAAATTTACATGATTTTAAATTCAAATTTT